AGTGCCCCACAGACAGCGATTCTGTGTGTGGTGTCCTACCTGACCTGTGTGACCGGGAGTTCCTTGGAACTGGGCTGGGCCCGCCTCCACACCTCCCTTTCAGTACTGAGGAGAGACTCACAGAAGTGAAAGGAAACAGGCAAAGCAGTTACTGAGGACAGAGGCACACACACTGTTCTCTCGTCCCCAGAACAAAGACAGACTTCAAACCCTCTGGAATCTGAGAAGCTCTCTTTTGCAAGCTTTCCTTCCACTCCTTGCAGCCCTGCCCCCACTTCAGAGGGAACTTGGCTAGGTAATACCTGTCTTTCCATTTGGCAGCTGAGGGCACATTAGGATGACTTGCTTAGAGTCACCAGCTCATGGGGAGAATCCCCTATCCTGCTCAAGGAACCCACCAGGCCTGCTTGAGGGACTGCAGGTAAGAGTAACCCTCTTTTACATGCAACATCTGAGTGCAGGTAGATGCTATTCAGATTCACGGTATGGTGTGGCATTGGATCATAGATGCTTTCCTGATAACACAACTGGAGCCCTGGAAAGCCATCCCCACCGGATCCTTGCACCATCCTGCTCTTCCACTCCATTTGCCTCTGCCTCCAGCTTGCCTCTCCCCATACCCTCCTCATTGCCTTCCCAAAACACTGGTAGGAATGCATCACATCTCTGATTAAAATAATGAGCTAATGTTTACTGAGCCCTTATCATGGGCCAGGTGCTGTTCTAAGCTCTATAATCTTCACAATTCTGCAGATGAAGAAACAGAGGCACAAGAGGTTAAACTGACTCATTCAAGGTTACACAGTAATTAAGTGGCAAAGTTAGTATTTGAGAGAGCAAATTAACTTTGAGAGCCAGCATTTCAGTCTGGCTGCTGAGATAGGCTTCTCAGGTCAGAAAGCCTCTCTCTGTACATTTCTATTTTTCAAATACTAATATAATGAATAATATGCATGGATTGCTTACTATTGCTAGGCCCTGTTCTGGTTGTGTTACATGTGCTAAGTCATTATATTCTTATAATAGTACTAGATCATTGGGGTATAATATTATTAATCTCTCTATATAAAAGCCTAATATGCAAAGTGTCCCCTTGGGAGTTTGACTGGGAGACTGGGAGTTCGATCACTCGCTATGACGTGTGCTGACCCCCAAGGGTGGCATGGAACGAAGGAAGGCCCTGGCCAGCAGCCAGAAGGCCTGATCAGCCCTGATTTCTGGCCAGGCCTAGGGGCACTACCCATGCACAAATTTTGTGCACCAGGCCTCTAGTATATAATAACTATCCTCATTTTACAGGTAAGGAAATTGGGGCAGTCACATAACAAAGATGGGTTACCAGACACTCCACCTTCAGAGCTAACCTTTGAACTGTGTTGTCTGGCTTCCCCCAGGGTGTGCAGGCCGAGGTCCAGCATCCAAGGCTCTTTGGGTTCATGCAGCATGATCTCTGAATTTCCACCAAAGCATGCCTTTTGTTTCTTGGTCTATGCATGCTTTTATCCTTCCCAACCAGACCTTAAGCTCCACAAGGCCAGATTTGAGGTCTGGTACATGTCTCAGTTTTTCCAGTTCATAGTAGGAGTCAGTAGATATCTGTTGAGTTGAACTACAGAATGCCAGAGCTGACTTGTCTTGGGACCCTCTCTCAGAGTGAGACAGGTCAGTAAGTCAGGACAAGTGGAAAAGGGAACCTGAGACATAGCTGAACAAACTGACAGCCATTTACAGCAGGTACAGAAGGTCACCTCCCTAGAAATAACATCCAGACTTCAGTTGAATTTCAGCTCCAGACCCAGAAAAACAGCAAAACCAGGTGGGTGACACCAAGACCAATTGCAATGAAGATCATAACTCCGAAGTACACCTAGAAAACTGATGCATATTCTGTTGAAACCTTCCTCTAAGACCTCCCTAGGATTTTCACCTGCAAGAGAGAGATAAAAGCCTCAAGACAAAGGACCCAGAGTACTTTCTCCTTTCCGGAGTACCACTTCTTCCCCCACAGGCGTGTGTCTCCTAAACCAAGGGACCCCATGAGGCTTGCAATCAGGGCAGCAATAGGCAGTGGCAGTTTATCCCTGGCAATCCCCCTGAACCTATCCCCAAAGCCCCTTTTTCTGACTTCTTAGCCAAAGCAGCCCAACTTAGGATCATTTCCCCAGCCTTTCCTTGTTTCACTGCCTCCAACTTTAATAAACATCCTCTAAAATTTGCCTGGCCTTGTGTTGTGAAATTTTTCCTGCACGAAGTCAAGAACCCACACACTACCGAGTGGCCCTAGGCAGACCTACTTAGGGCCAGGTCTCCTTTCTGGTAACAAGAGGAATGGAGTGATCACCCACTGTGATCTGACATTAGATACCATCTGTTTCTGATTCAAGGTTTGTATGCCTGATGCTTCAAAAGGCCAATATTCAAGACATCAGAGTTTTTAGTAAGGAAAGGTGTATTGATGGAGAAATTGCCGCCAGCTCAAGAAGAAGTTTCCCAAACCCATATTAAGAGAGCTCAAAATTCAGGCTTCTTTTATGTCAAGGGCAGGGAGAATGGGTGCAGGAAGAGGTATATGACACCCAGGTGCCAACATGGATCCAAAGAAGAGAGAGCAATCTAAACCTCGTTGTTCCCTAGTCCTGACCCCCACTGATCTGAATCCAGTCTTGAGGCTCCTGCAAATCTTTACCAAAAGTTCAAGGCTCAAGCAGAAGTTGTCTAATAATTAGCAGGCCTATGGCAGGAGCTATTCATCTGAAGGTCATGGGAGAAATGCAGCCTAGAATTAAGATAGAATCAGAGCCTGGTCAGCGTGGCCTTGGTGTTCATAAGCGTTGACCTATGAACCAAGAGGTCACAGTTTGATTCCCAGTCAAGGCACATGTCTGGGTTATGGGTGTGCAAGAGGCAGCGGATCAATGATTCTCATCATTGATGTTTCTATCTCTCTCTCTCCTTCCTCTCTGAAATTAATACAAATATATTTTAAAAAAGAGAGTCAGAGAGTGAGCATTTCACTCTGTTACAAGCCCAGGATTGTTGCCTTGGCCTCAAGACCCCATCCAGATCCTCCAGATCCTTTTTAAAATTAAATCCTGTTCAATATGCTCCCAGGAAGCTACTACTTAGAGAAACCATTATCACGGGAAACAAACAGAAGTGAATATTTTGTTAATGGAGTTCCTAAATTAACAAATTTTGGCCCAACTCATGACAAGTTATCAATTTGGTGATTAAGCCTCAGGAATGGCCAGTTTTTCCATAACTATAATCTTATTTTCTCCACCTTGAAAGGGCGAAGGGGTCATTTACAAAAGAGAAAATTAAGTTACTCAAGGTCACCCTCAAGTGATGAGTGACTCAAAGGCCAGAATCCCTTTATTCCATAGGGAGATGAAGGGAGGTGACCTTGCAAGACCTTCAGATTAGAGTTTCTATCGCCCTGCCTCTGTCAGCTCTCCTAGGAAAAATGAGGTCCGGGGATTTGAAACTACAAAGGGTCATCAGTGCTGAGCTGGAACTCAGCAGCACTCAACAGGGATTGAAGACTTAGAAACACAAGGCCTTGGGCCCCTCTGGAATTTGCTCAATGGCCTGACAGTGACTCTAAAAGCCCTCAGGTCCAGATTCTTCCAATAACATTCAAAGCTTTCCACCGTGGGCCTTTAATGCAGTCACTAAACACTTATGGAGGGCTCACTGTGTGCCAGGCAATGCTTCGCTTGTAAAGGACCTTATAAGACTCCTCCTAACAATCCTGCGAGGTGGGCATTATAGCCAGTCCCCTTTTAAAGATAAAGGCACAGATTCAGAGAGGTGTTTCAGCAAATAGCATTTCCAGTCACAAGGCACTTTCCTATACTCCATCCTACAGGGCTCACTTCCAGGGGCAATGATGGTGGTACTGCTTCATGGGTATGAGCAATGGGTTAGGAACAGACCTGAGATGGAATCCCCACTCAGCCACCCGTGTAACCTACAGAAGTCACTTAACTTCTGGTCCTCGGTTACCTTATCTATAAATTGATAATAAAAATGTCTTCCTCATAGGTCTGTTGGGAGGACAAATGAGATAAAGCACATAAAGTTCTATGAGGCCTAGATGGTGTGTGTCTGTGTGTGTCTGTGTGTGTAAATCCCACCCCCTAATGAATGGTACTAGGTGCCCACACTCCTCCTGGTCGGGCATTCTTTCTGCTTGAACTCCAGGAGGGCCCAGGAGTGGAAAAAGATGACCTGGGAAGGTCAGTCTGTGGGGTGGCAGAGAAGGACAAGCGGTGGAGGGTTTGGACAATAAGAAGAGCCCGGGGTGACAGACACGGGATCCCAGGGGTAGGAGAAAGAGAAAGGGGCAGCAGGTGGGCGCCCCAGGGGAACTTCCTGTGCTGGCCCTGCTGTGGGTTCACTCAGCGAGATAGACCACTGACTCAGAATTTAAATTTGAGAGCCTTTATTAAGCTGGCCAGCTGACTACAGCGCGTACCTCTCCACAGAGAGCCTCGCAGCTGGAGCCCCGACCGAGGGTACAGCAAAGCTTTTTATCTGCAAAAACTACAAAGTATTTCAAAAAAAACCCCCCTGCAAAGCGGTTCATTAGCCGCTCTCAGGAGCCTCCCGCTGGGGAGAGGTGGGCGTCCTACGGTGCCCGCCGGTGGCAGGTTCTCCAGGAAAAAGCTGCTAAACTGGTTGCGGGCATTAATCAGGTCCGCGAGCCCAGTCGGTCTCCGCTCCCAGTTCTCTTGGCAGGCCTTTCCCGCAGGGGCTCCGCTGTCCCCGTCTTCAGGGAGTTGGGGCTCGGGGTGCGCGGGGCTGAGGCGGGGCCGGGCCGAGCCGTGGCGCCGAACCGCTGCGCTCGTGCTTCTGAGGACGCCCTCGGGAAGGGGGTGCCCCTCGCGTTCCCCCCAGCTGAGTCTCCCGCCCTGCGCGAGGACGCGGGAGCTACCCCAGGCCGGCCGCCAAGCTGGACCTTGACCGTTGCGCGCCGCCAGCCGCGGGCCCGTTGCTAACGGCGCGCTCCCGAGCCGGCTTGCGGCGGCGCAGCTCTCCTCCCGCTCCGCCCGTGCAGAGGAGCGCGGATCCCCCGCGGATCCCCCGCGGATCCAGGCCGGGTTTTGCGGCGAAACCGGCGAGCGCAGATTCTTGTGTCGCTAGTCGTCTAGGCAGCTCTGAGCGGCGGGGGATCATGGTGCTGGAGGAACTGTGGGCCGCGCTCTCGGGCGCCTCCGGGGCTGCCCTGGCCTGCTGCTTCGTGGCGGCGGCGGTGGCTCTACGCTGGTCCGGTCGCGGGAGGGCGCGGGGCGCGGCGGCCCGGGCGCGACAGAGACAGAAAGCGGCCCTGGAAAGCATGGACAAGGCGGCGCAGCGCTTCCGGCTCCAGGTGACGCTAGGGGTCGGGGTCCGGGGGTCGCCGGGTGGGAGTACCCCCGCAGCACTTTCAGCTGCCCGGAAGCGCGGGGGGGAGGGGGGGGAAGAGGGGAGGGAGACAGCGCAGGTGTGTGGGCAGCGCAGGTGTGTGGGCAGCGCAGGTTTATAACTTTCGGAACCCCTTCTTGCTCAAATGCATCCCGTGCTCTTCCTGAGCCAGGTAGGGCAAAGGGGAGGAAGGGAGAGGAAAGAGACAGGGAGGGTAGTTTTGGAAGGCCATCACGGCGCTAGGTCCAAAGAGGAGCTTTGCTCCGTGCAAAAGAATCTCAAGATCACTTGCCGATTAGAATGCCAAAACGCTGGCATGGGAATCAATAGGATGGCCAGGGTTAAGACTTTGGAATCGCCGGCGATGGCCAAGTGAAAGCGGAGAGCTTACAGTTCACACTCATTGATTTGTACGTTAGGAGCCGGAGAAGGACTGGCCCAAATGCACCCGGGGTTATTGACGGAGCCCGGCTGGAATGGAAGTCTCCCCAGCTCCTACCGCTCAAGTTGTGGTGGCCGGCTCCTGACAAGCCCCTTCCGTGAGCAGGTTGAGTTCCAGCCCTTCGCTGGGTGATCTGTCAACAGCTCCCTCTAGATCAGATCAGTGTGTGTTTGGGGGTGAAGGAGGGGCTTAGAAGAGAGGGCTTTCTCTCCGAGTATGAGACAGAAATCAAAATGCTAACCGGTGGCAGTTGTATGTGCTGAGGGAGAAAAGACTTGCCAGGAGTGTTTGTGAGGGTATGTGTTTTGATAGGATTCCCATCTGACAGGTAGGAAGGCGGCCCAGGTGATGGGGACAACAGGAGGCAGGAGGGTGTGCCGAGGTGGGCGACTGGGAAGGAGTCACAGAAAATTGCATGTAACAGATTCTCAGATGCAGCAAGTGATTTCTGAGTTGGAGTCGAGCTGGGACCAGAACCTAGATGTCCAGTGGGGCTCTCCAGCCTCATTCCAGTGGAGAGATATTAGGAAAGGAGACCGGACAGGCCCAGGGTATGGCCTTCGTTGTGGTGAGGTTTTGGCTAGATGATGAATTCACTCCATACCATTCCTGGGCCAGCATATGTCATATTTGTTTATTTATTGAAATCAAAATATGTTTGGTTCCAGCCTTCATTCATCAAGCTGGCTGAAAAATCTACCATCAATTTTAGAATTCCCCACGCTCAGATTGGGAGACCAGGGTGTTCAGTCCAAACTGGTCACTCCCCCTACTTGAGCACAGGTCCTTCACTGTCTCGTCCTTCTCTGCCCCAGCTCCTAGGTGCCCCACTCAGGGATCCTCCAAGTCCTTCTGTGCAGCCCTCTAAGTTCTGCCAGCTCCAAATGTTGCCTGGGACAGCTGCAGGAATCTGCCCACAGTGTCTGCCCACAGAGCTCCTCTCCCGTCCCAAAGAACCCACCAGCTGGCAGGAGTGTGGGGTGGTTGAAAGGTGGGTCTTCCCTCACTTCAACTCTGAGCATTAGTAGTTTCCCTCTGAAGAGGCCACCTCGCATTAATTCTAAGAAATGGATTTTCTAGGGCAGAAGTTTTGGCCTTGACATACAAAGAGCTGTTTACACACCCTCCTTCGAGCCAGAGAGCTTGACCTCAGAACCGCAAAGCTTGGCTCTTCCAGGAGGAGAAGCCAGGAAATTACCTTTTGGCTATGCAAAGACTGGAGAAGAAAGGAAGAGCTACCTCAGGAGTCTTACTGTTTTGAGCTATGAGCCAAGGGTTGAGATCTTGATGACAATAGCTTTGTAGGCCTTTGGGGCAGGTAGGAGGTGGGCTGCAGTCAGTCCCGCCTGAGCCTCCCTGACCTTAACACACCCTCCGCTTGGCTCTGGAGTCACTGTATGACAGGGAGGTGGGGTTTGAGGCTGTCTCAGCAGCCTTCCTTCTGAGGCTTTCTCTGCCCAGCCCTGACTAGCAAGGGGCACTGAGGTAAGCAGGCCCTAGGAGAGTCCAGCAGCTTGTAGTACAGCTCCCCCCTGATGGACTCCAAAGCTTGTTGGGAGCCCAGATCCTGCGTGTATTCCAAGGCAGTGCTGGAGGAGGGGAGAATCATAAACATTTCCTGAATCATTACAAGATAGTTATCTCTCCAGATCTAGAACAACTCTGGAGTAAGGCATGTTTATGGTAATTCTCTGTTGACAAAGTGAGGCTTAATGACCTGTAACAACTATTTGTCCATTTGCCTCCTAAATGAGTTTTGATATCCATTCTAGAGGGAAGAGAGCATTAAAATTATGACAGAGACTTTAACCAGGACATAACTGGGAGGAGCTGGGGCTTATGGGAGGAGTTCTGGCACTTGGTTATTGGATAGCCTTACATGGAAGAACCTTATGTTTATAACAGAGTTCTCTCATTGCAGCAACTCCCTCTATCCTTAACTTCCACCGCCTCTTTATAATGTCTCCTCCATCTTGGTTTGGTTCAGCGTGTACATATGGTTTGCCATTTTGATTCACCCTAGAATGCAATCTTTGTTTTTTTAAAAAGAATATATCTTTACTGATTTCAGAGAGGAAGGGAGAGGGAGAGAGAGATAGAAACATCAATGATGAGAGAGAACCATCGACCGGGTTGCCTCCTGCATGCCCTCCCATAGGGGATGGAACCCACAACCTGGGCATGTGCCCTGACCAGGAATCAAACCGTGATCTTCTGGTTCATAGGTTGGTGCTCAACCATGGAGCCACACCCAGCCGGGTGCAACTGCTGGGAACCAATTCCAGCATGTTATACTTTCAAGAGTTTCATCAAAAACTTGGGGACTCAACAGGGTTGAGTCACACATGTAGTCACCTGTTGGGAATGGCTAAAGGCATTTCCCCAAACCTGAATAGGAAACTGACTGTGGCTGCCAGACAGTTAAAGGGCATCTTAATCTACATGTTATTGCCTCCTACTGGCCAAACACCTGAACAGCATCGAAGGCTATTCCCCAAACTGACAATGCTTCTGTACCCTTTGAAACCTTACCCTTTGAAGTGTATTATCTCCACCTTGCCTTAGGACACATTGTGTTAATAAAAGCAAGGGTCCAGGACAAGGAGGGAGTCTTCAGTTCTTTTAGCTGAAGGTCCTCTGACCCCCAATGCCTTTCAAAATTATATCTCATCTCCAGATTCTTTATTAGTCTCTGGATTCCTATGTCATCTACGCACAGCACCTTTTCCAGATTCCTGAATCCTTCTTGATGCTGGGACAAGAACCCCAGCATGCAACCCGTTCTTTTTCCTGAATAAACTCTTTTTTATTGATGGAATACCTTGTTGATTCCATTGTTTTCAGTCTACAAGGGGGAGCACTATAAATAGAATATTATTGCTGGGAAAAATATCACGGAAAGTTCAACTGTTCATGCCTCTGTGTCTTGGCATTTGTAATTTTATCTCGAATGCCTTTCCCCCACATTTGTTACAACCCTCTTTGTCAAAATCCCATTGGTCTTACTTCCTTCAAGTGGATCTGACCTGTAGTTCTATCTCCTGGCCTTTTTCAAAGCCCACCTTGAACCTGATTTTAATACAAAATGAGTCAGTAGATGAATTTGTTACTGACAAGTTTGGGTTCTTGTTTTTTGATATAAAAGAATTTAGACCAGGGACACTGATAAAACCAAAGGCAGATATGTTGAGCCTCTGCAGAGGGCAAGATAGGTTCTCAGGTTCTGTGCCCTAAATGTGGGGCTTAAAGGTTTTTTTTAAATTAAATCTTTATTGTTCAGATTATTACAGTTGCTCCTCTTTTTCCCCCCCATAGCTCCCCTCCACCTGGTTCCCACCCCACCCTCTGCCCTTACCTCCCTCCCACTGTCCTCATCCATAGGTGTACAATTTTTGTCCAGTCTCTTCCCACACCCCCACACCCCTTTCCCCCCGAGAATTGTCAGTCCACTCCGTTTCTATGCCCCTGAATTTTTAAAGCATGCAATACCTGACGGTTCAGTCAGCGACACTGACTGCTTTTCCCTTAGGTTGTCAAATTTAAAAAATGACAACAGCCCTGGCCAGTTTGGGTCAATGGATAGGGTGTCGGTCTGCAGACTGAAGGGTCCCGGGTCTGATTCTGGTTGCAGACTTGCTCCCAGGCCCCAAGCCTCCACAGGGAGGCAACCAATCAATGTGTCTCTCTTACATGGATGTTTCCCTCTCTGTGTCTCTCCTGCTCCTTTCCACTCTCTCTAAATAATCAGTGAAAAAAATATCCTCAGGTGAGGGTTAACAACAACAACAAAATGACAACAGCCAACACAACAATAGCTGTCCAGTGTGAATGTCCTGTCTTGAACCATAAATATATAAGTCGAATAATAGAGTTGCATCTTATTGGTCACATTGCATAATAAGGTTGTGTCTGATTGGTTAATTCCTGGTACCAGAAATCCTTATATACAAAGTATAGGCAACTGATTTTTTAAAAAATCACTTGGGAGAAAAAGAAACAGGTCACAAATGACAGAAGTGGAGGAAAGCAAACTACTGGATATAGAGTTCAAAACCACACTTTTAAGGTTTTTCAAGAATTTCCCAGAAACCGCCGATAAATTTAGTGAGACCCTCAATAAATCTAGTGAGACCCTCGAGGATATGAAAAAGGACCAACTAGAAATTAAGCATACACTGACTGAAATAAAGAATATTATTCCGAAATCCAACAGCAGACTAGAGGATCGCAAGAATCAAGTCAAAGATTTGAAATATGAAGAAGCAAAAAACACCCAACTGGAAAAGCAAAAAGTAAAAAGAATCCAAAAATATGAAGATAGTGTAAGGAGTCTCTGGGACAACTTCAAGTGTACCAACATCCGAATAATAGGGGTGCCAGAAGAAGAGAGAGAGCAAGATATTGAAAACCTATTTGAAGAAATAATGACAGGAAACTTCCCCTACCTGGTGAAAGAAATAGATTACAAGTCCAGGAGTACAGAGAACCCCCAAAAAGAGGACCACACCAAGACACATCATAATTAAAATGCCAAGAGCAAAGGACAAAGAGAATCTTAAAAGCAGCAAGAGAAAAACAGTTAGTTACCTACAAGGGAGTACCCATAAGATTGTCAGCTGATTTCTCATTGGAAACTATGCAGGCCTGAAGGGAGTGGCAAGAAATATTCAAAGTGATGAATAGCAAGAACCTACAACCAAGGGTTGAACGACCCTTTCACAGGGATTGCCTAAGACCATCGGAAAACACATATATAATTACATATTGTTTTTGTGATTAATCACTATGCTTTAATTATGTTCAATTTGTAACAATGTAATTGTGGGTCATCACAACATGAGGAACTGTATTAAAGGGTTGTGGCATTAGGAAGGTTGAGAACCACTGGGTTAGAGTGTTGGCTTGTGCACCGAAGGGTCATGGGTTCGATTTCTGATCAAGGGCACGTACTTGGGTTGCAGGCTCTGGTCAGGAGTATGCGGGAGGCAACTGATCCATGTGTCTCTCTCACATCAATGTTTCTCTCTCTTTCTCCCTATCCCTCCTTTCCACTCTCTCTAAGAAATCAATGAAAGCCCTAGCTGGTTTGACTCCGTGGATAGAGCATCAGCCTGAAGGGTCCCGTTTTCAATCCCAGTCAAGGGCACATGCCCGGGTTGCAGGTTCGATCCCCAGGAGGGGGTGTGCAGGAGGCAGCCAATCAGTGATTCTCTCCATCATTCATGTTTGTATCTCTCCCTCTCCCTCTCTGAAATCAATAAAAATATATTTAAAAAACCAATGGAAAAAAATATCCTTGGGTAGGATTAATAAAATAAAAACAGTGATCACATAGTTATATAATTGGGGGAAAAACAATCTTGCTATTTTTATTGTGAAGTGAGAAAGGTAAGGTGTAGTACTGTGTATATAGTATGATCCCTCTGTGCAAAATAGAATATATGTCAACAATTACATACCTTGTGGGTTTTTCATAAACTTTTTTTCCCCTATAAGGTTAATCAGAAACTGTTAACTATGGTTTTGTTTTCAGAAGAGGAACTGGGCAGGATGGTCCCTGAGATGAGGGAACATTCACTTTTCATTTTTATACCTTTAAAAAAATATATATATATATTGTATATATATATATATATATATATATATATATATATATATATATATTGATTTCAGAGAGGAAGGGAGAGGGAGAGAGAGACAGAGAAACATCAATGATGAGAGAGAATCATTGATCGGCTGCCTCCTGCACGCCCCACAAGGGGATCAAACCCACCACCTGGGCATGTGTCCTGACCAGGAATCGAACCATAACCTTCTGGTTCATAGGTCAATGCTCAACCATCGAGCCATGCCAACTGGGCTTATTTTGTATGCCTTAAAAAAAATATCCAGGGAAGAGCTAATTGTTGCATCATCATGATGGGCTAGCTAGAACATGTGATGTTTTTATTTGAACTAATAGAGCTGTAAACAAAGAAGTTAAGCCTTTAGAATGAATTATAGGTTGTAAAAGTAAATGAATTGTATTGCATGTGAAAAAAAATCCAGGGATTATTTAGTGTGTATAGAGAAATCATGGATCCATTTTCTTTAAAAAAAAAATCCCAAATAAGTATTGTATCTGTTTAACAAATTAAGGTATGATGGGTGCATGTGGAGGGTTGAGTGGTGGTGTCGCATTGAGGGGTGCAGAGGAGTCTGACAGGATCGTGCCTGGAAGCACCTCCCGGAACATGCTTGTGGTGTAAGGAGGTTTTAAGGGGAAAGGCAAGCCCTGGTTGAGCTTTGCACAATCTGGGCAGGCAAAAAGGAAGAGTGGGTGGGAGTGATAAGACTTTGGCAGGGCGGCCAGCTCGGTGGTCCCTGGGTGACCTGGGAGAGAAGGGATGAGCACCAGTGAGGATCTTGGTAGAGGAGATGGAGAGGTGGCATTTTCCAGAGCTGCTTATGGCGCTTGGTGAGTGATTGGATGCAGGTGGGAGAGTGAGGGAGGAATCCAGGCTGACTCCTGTTTTCTCACTTGAGCACCTGGATGGATGCAGCACCCTTCCCTGAGTGAGGGTCTACACGGAGGAGGATGAGAGGGAGCTGGTGGAAAGTAGGGGAGCAAGCTCAGGGGGAAGGACACGGAGGGGTGGGCACCATTGGGAACAGCCCTGTGACTGGGTTGAGCTCAGTTGAGTCAGGCTGGGTGGAGGAACGGGAGGTCATTGGGGGAGGTGGAGAGCCGAGAGAGCCACCAGAGTGAATGACTTCTCCCAGCATCAGAGAGGGAAGAAGAGGTGCCCCAAGGGAAACTCAAGGAGTCTCTGTCTGGCACCTTCTCATCCATCAAATCACAGCTGAAATGTCACCCCCTGGAGAGGCCTGCCCAGGCCATCTGGGTCAGTTCTCTGCTGTTTCATCACCGCACTCTGTTTATTTGCTTTGTTACACTGTGGTCTATTTATTACTTGTTTATTTGTTTATTTTCTTGAATGTAAGCTCTCTGAAAGCGGGGACTTGCCTATCTTAGTTACTTCTAAATTCATAGCCTCTAACAAAGTTCTTGACACAGAGGATGCTCAGAAAATGTTTGTTGACAGACCAAGTGGATGACAGAAGTAGCCAGAGGGCAGGAGGAGAATCAGAGAGGGTGGTATCTGCAGGCCAGGAGAGAATTGAAGAAAGCTGGTGTGTGGTCAGGGAGACATGGAGCAGAATAAAAAGAAGTTCCTGTGGGATTTGGCAACAGGGAGGCCCCTGAAGACTTTGACAAGAGCAGGAGACCATAGAGGTGAGAATTGGTGGCTGTGGCTCTGATCTCCTCTAGCCCCTGTTCACGAATTAGTCCAGTGCCCTGGAGGAGGAAGTGACTGTGTTTGCGGGTAGGGGCTGATCCCAGGGACTCTAGGAGCCTTTGAGGCCTGGCAGTGAGGCGTTTGATCAAATGTCTCCTTCAGAGAGCTCTTCCCTGACCACCCTCTACCTGTATGCTGCCCGTTTCCCTCACCCAGTTTTATTTTCTTTAAATTATATCTCACTATCTGAAATGTCTTATTTGTTAACTTATTATCTGCTCACTCGCAACCTGCACCTGGTATAAACCCCCCAAAGCATGCACACGCCTTCTTTGTTCACTGGCATCACCCTGCTTAGTGCGGCACCTGGTACAGAGTAGGCACCATCTCTGTGGAATGAGTGAAGAAATGCTCTTCTGTACGTGGCTCTCAGCTGCAGCCTAACCACGCGGCATGGGTTCTTCTTGTTTTCCCCCTCCCCTGCTGGTTGGGTGGCCAGGTGCAGGTGGACAGCCAGTGGGCAGCCTGTGCTGAGTGGGCAGAGAACTGGAGCTTGTCCGTATGGTCCTAAGCAAGGCACTTCCCCTCTCTGAGCCTCAGTTTCTTTACTGTGCAAGGGGAACGGTAGTAGATTTAATAAAAACATAGAGCACACCAGCACGGCGCCTGGCACACAGTAGGCAGCCATTGAGGGTGGTTTAATAGTCCTCCTGGGCCAGGACATTCCAAGGGCTCAGAGGTTTCCTCCTGGAGCCAGGCCCGTCAGACCTTTCTCTGTAATGTGCAGGTTCTGACTATCCCAGGCCTGCTGAATCAAGCCCGGAAAGCACACGTTTTCATTTCGGGGGGCGGGGGGGGGGGGGGGGAGGGGGGGGGGGTGGGGAGGTGGCTGGGGGGGGGGGAGGGGGGAGTAGATGCCCTGGGTTGAGTTGCTGGGATGTGTAATAATCGCATGTTCTTGTTATAGTAGTTTGTTTGCTTGTGTTTTGAAATTACTGTTTTCTAGAGAGGGCATGCCATTTTTATCACCACCATCGATGCACGATGCCCGCATGACTGTTTCACATCCTCATCAGCAGTTGGGACTGTTCTTATACTTAGTGTGAGGTGTTCTGATATATGAGCCTTACTATCTCACTGTGGTTTTGATTTTGCCATCTGTATATCCTCTTCAAGAAGTGCCTGTCCATGGCTTTTGCCTACTTTGTAATTGGATTGTTTTCATTTTGAGTTTTTTTGGTGTGTGTGCATTCACATTCTACCACTTGGATGTAAATGTGGTTTCCAATATTTCCCTCCAGTGTACATTTTGTCATTTCATCTTTCACAGAGCCTAGGTTTTTAATTTTTATAAGTTCTAATTTATTAAATAAAATCAGCCTGGGCATGGCTTCTCCCTGGGTGTCCGTCCAGGAAGCTTCTTGAAGAGATAATATCTGCACTGTCCCAGGTGGCAATGGCTGGTGTCAGATTTGTGGATGGGCATGTCTGGCGTGGATTGGCATGTGACGGTGAGCATCTGCTTAGTAGATGTGGGGTTTTGAGGACATGGGACAAGGTGTCTGCTGCAAGCATGTAGGGCCTGCAGGGAGCAGGACTGATCTGAGGTGTCTCCCCAGAACCCCGACCTGGACTCAAAGGCACTGCTGGCCCTGACTCTGCCTCAACTGGTACAGAAGTTACACAATGGGGAGCTGTCCCCGCAGGCTGCACTCTTCACCTATATGGGAAAGGTAAGGGTGACTGGCCCGCCAGTGATCTTCCCTGCTCCTTCCTATTTGCTCTCTCAGTACAGGCTGTGGGGGAAACCTGGCCTGGAGTTTATCTTGCTGAGGGCCATTGTGGGACCACAGTGCTAGGGGCTGCCTGTTCACCAATTAGTCCAGTGCCCTGGAGGAGGAAGTGACTGTGTTTGCGGGTAGGGGCTGCCAGGGAGGAAAGGAGCCAGAGGGGTGTGCGTGTGCGAGAGAGAGAGAGAGAGAGAGAGAGAGAGAGAGAGAGAGAGAGAGAGAGAGAGAGGAGGCTGAAGAGGCTGATTCTGTGTATGAGGAGGAGGGGACACTGATCATGTTGTCTTTGCTAGAAACCTGGCTTTCAGCCCAGACTTCCCTCTCCCTCCTGCCCCCACCCCATTGGTCACCAAGTCTAGTCTGTTCCTTTTCTATGGCTCACTCTAGTCCACCCCTTGTCCCCACTCCTCTTCAGTCCCCCTGGTCCTCCAGCACTGTCTCCCTCCAAGCTCAAGCACCAGCCTCCTGGACAGATCCCTTTCAGGCCTCCAGTTCTTCAGACTCTCATTCTGTTCCGCCTTTGTCTCCAGCATCCCCTCTGGCCAAAGCCTTCTGGAGCTGGGGGAATCAGTGTAGCTCAGCTGCTGGCAGTTCCAGGGCCTGGCATGCTCTGTGCTGGCTTGTGTGGAGTTCCTTTTGCCGGACGGCTCTTCTCCTGCTTCTTTGCCCTGCTCGGCACAAGTCCCCCTAGCTGAGCCTTCAGGCCTAGAGGACTCCCCTTTTCTAAAGCTTTCCCTGACCCTCCTTCCCTCCCAGCCCAAGTTAGGTTTCCTCTTTAGTGTTCACTTTCTTTTGTTTGTTTTGTTAGTCCTCACCCAAGGATATTTTTCCATTGATTTTTAGGGAGAGTGGAAGAGAGAGAGAAAGACAGAGAGAATTATCAATGTGACAGAAACATCTCGAGTGGTTGCCTCCTGCACGAGCCCTGACCAGGGCCTGGGCTGGGGAGGAGCCTGCAATCAAGGTACGTGCCCTTGATTAGAATCGAATCTGGGACCCTTTGGTCTGCAGGCCGATGCTCTACCCACTGAGCCAAACTGGCTAGGACTGTGTTCACTTTCTTTCTTTTTCTTAATGTAACAATAGCATCAAAATTTTATTAAAGTTTTAGTTGTTTTTTTAAGTTAATTTTATCTTTCTTGGACTCCAAAGATATTTTGTAGTGCTGAATGTATTTACTTGTGTATTTGAATTTGAATTTTCTGTTTTTACTTTTTTTTTTTAAAATTAAATCTTTATTGTTCAGATTATTACATTTGTTCCTCTTTTTTCCCCCCATAACTCCCCTCCTCCCAGTTCCCACCCCACCCTCCACCCTTACTCCCCACCCACTGTCCTCATCCATAGGTGCACGATTTTTGTCCAATCTCTTCCCACATCACCCACACTCCTTTTCCCCTAAAGAATAGTCAGTCCATTCCCTTTCTATGTCCCTGATTCTATTATAATCACCAGTTCATTCTGTTCATCAGATTATTTATTCACTTGATTTTTAGATTCACTTGTTGATAGATGTGTATTTGTTGTTCATAATTTTTATCTTTACCTTTTTCTTCTTCTTTCTCTTCTTAAAGGATACCTTTCAGCATTTCATATAATACTGGTTTGGTGGTGATGAACTCCTTTAGCTTTTCCTTATCTGTGAAGCTCTTTATCTGACCTTCAATTCTGAATGATAGCTTTGCTGGATAAAGTAATCTTTGTTGTAGGTTCTTGGTATTCATCACTTTGAACATTTCTTGCCACTACCTTCTGGCCTGCAAAGTTTCTGTTGAGAAATCAGCTGACAGTTGTATGGGTACTCCCTTGTAGGTAACTGATTGTCTTTCTCTTGCTGCTTTTAAGATTCTCTCTTTGTCTTTTGCTCTTGGCATTTTAATTATGATGTGTCTTGGTGTGGTCCTCTTTGGATTCCTTTTGTTTGGGGTTCTCTGCACTTCCTGGACTTGTAAGTCTATTTCTTTCACCAGGAGGGGAAAGTTTTCTGTCATTATTTCTTCAAATAGGTTTTCAATATCTTGCTCTCTCTCTTCTTCTGGCACCCCTATTATTCGGATGTTGGTACGCTTGAAGCTGTCCCAGAGGCTCCTTACAGTATCTTTGTATTTTTGGATTCTTTTTTCATTTAGCTTTTCCGGTTGGGTGTTTTTTGCTTCTTCGCATTTCAAATCTTTGACTTGATTCTTGCGCTCCTCTGGTCTGCTGTTGGGAGTCTGTATAATATTCTTTATTTCAGTCTGTGTATGCTTAATTTCTAGTTGGTCCTTTATCACAACATCTAGGGTCTCACTAGATTTCTTGAGGATCTCACTACATTTATCGGCGGTTTCTAGAAAGTTCTTGAAAAACCTTAAAAGTGTGGTTTTGAACTCTAAATCCAGTAGTTTGCTTTCCTCCATTTCTGTCATTTGTGTCCTGTTTCTTTGTCTCGGCATTTTTCATGCTTCGCTGTGTCGATAGAGTGGCTTTCTGTGCTAAATGTCCTATAGGGCCCGGTGGCTCAGCCTCCCCAATTACCTGAGGTAGACACTCTGGGTGCATCCCCTTGTGGGCTTTGTGCACAGTCTTGTTGTAGTTAAGCCTTGATTGTTGTAGGTAGCACTGGGAGGATTTGACCTCCAGGCCAATTGGCTGTGAGAATCAGCTATGTCTAAGGTGGAAGAACTTCTGTGCTAAAGACGCCCTTCTGGGGCAAGACTTGCTTCAGTGGGGCTTTGGTGCTCACTGAGTCTGCCCCCTGAGTGTGTCCCTTATGGACCTGCTGAGTTTTAATTGGATGGTCCCACTCTGACCACTGGGTACACTGGCTCTTGGATCTAAGGAGGTGCTAATCTAGCCTCTGCCTGCGGCTTCCCAGCAGAAGCCAGCTGTAAAGCAATGCAAGTTGCCCTGGGGCCTTGGGCAGCTGCAGTTTGTTAAGTAATTTTCAGATTATAAAGGGCCGTGCCTTTCATATGCAAAAGCCTCCCTGCATGGCTTGGGTGGGGCGGAGCCCCAGGGGATCAACTGGGCAGGCAGAGCAAGCAGTTTGGCTGCTCTCAGTCCTGTCCTCAGAGGCCCCAGCAATTGCTGTGTGTGCCTCCGAGAAAAAGCTGCCCTCGAGTTCCGACCGATGCCAGACAATCCCGTTTCTCCTCTATGAGCCTGGGTCCCCAGAGACTCACCCGGAACTGGAGCTCAGAGCCTGAGACTCCCTCCCGATTGAAAAAGATAATTGTGACCTCAGCCGCCAGCCCTCTCTGCACGCACCTCCGCACCTTTGTATTTTACTTCCGCACTGTGCCTCCTCTGAGTCTCAGTATGCTTTTCTCTTTCCTTCTAGTTGTAGAATTTCCACTCAGCCAGCCTTCCTGTGGTTCTGGATGATGTCCATTCGGTCTTTAAGTTGTATTTTTGAAGTGGTTGTGTGAGGCAGCAATCTCCAGGGTTTACCTATGCCGCCATCTTGGTTTCAACCTCTGTGTTCACTTTCTTTTTTTTTTTTGATGTTTGCTCTCCTTTATTTGTTAGTTACAAAAATCTCATTTTTGACTGGACTCAGACTTAGAGGTAGAAGCTCTCAGAGAGGACAGTCTACGTCTCTTCGCAATCTGTTCCTGACGTTTTTCTTTGGCCTCCTTCATTCTCTTAGCCAAAAGCTTAGCATATTCTGCGGCCTCTTCCTTGTTTTTCTTAGTACGTTGTTTCTTCAGAGCAATACGCCTGCGTTTGTGTTGCAGGACACGTGGAGTAACAAGACGCTGAATCTTGGGTGCTTTAGTCCTAGGTTTCTTACCTTCTTTGTTTAGAGGCTTTCTCACAACATACTTGCGGACATCATCTTCTTTAGAGAGATTGAAAAGTTTGCGGATCCTGCTGGCTCTTTTGGGCCCCAGGCGACGAGGCACGGTGGTATCAGTGAGACCAGGAATATCTTTCTCCCCTTTTTTGACAATGACCAAGTTGAGAACACTGAGGTTGGCATCCACAATGCAGCCCCGAACGGATTTGCGCTTTCTCTCCCCGGTCCTCCTGGGTCTGTAACAGGAGTGGCCCTTGCTCAGCAGCAGGCGGACTCGGCCGTGGGTCAGCACACCCTGCTTCATGGGGAAGCCTTGCTTGTCGTTCCCGCCACTGATGCGAACCACGTAACCCTTCCATTCTTCACCCAGCGCGTCCGCAGCAACCTCTGTGGCCATCCGCTTCTCATAAAAGGTGCGGAGTTTGCGTTCATCGTCCACTTCAATGAGTTTCTGGCAGCCAGTGGCTGGGAAAGAGATGTTGAGCTTCATCCTGAAGCAGCCGACAGCCTCCGAGGCGCCACGAAAAAGAGGCTCCTGTGTTCACTTTCTAATAGCACATTTCTCATCACATTATAGGGCCTACTTTGTCTTTCTCTTTCCCATGGCAAATGTGAGCTTTCTTGCAACAGAACTTCTTATTCGTCTTTGCACCTTAGTGCTGGACACCATGTCTTTTATATAGTAAGTGCTCAAGAAATGTGTTTGAAATATGTTTGTGCTTTATGAGTGTGGCTTTTGCATGATTTCTTGAACGAGATCATAGGAACTCTAACTGGTTTGGCTCAGTGGATAGAGCGTCGGCCTGGGGACTGAAGGGTCCCAGGTTCAATTCCGGTCAAGGGCATGTACCTTGGTTGCAGGCACATCCCCAGTAGGGGGTGTGTAGGAGGCAGCTGATGGATGTTTCTCTCTCATCAATGTTTCTAACTCTCTATCTCTCGCCCTTCCTCTCTGTAAAAAATCAATAAAAAATATATATATATATATATTTTTTTTTTAAAGAAAGGGATCACAGGAAAGCATTCTGGTTACAGATTGGCTTCCTACCTTCTTACCTTGGGTAGCCCGGAGACAGATTTCATGAGCCTGAGTGTGGTAACAGGACCGACACCCATTTTCTAAGGTGTTTCACAGGAACAAGAGTATTTACTTAAACTGCACCTCACTCTTCCCTGACCTTTCCCTCCTGTAGGGCCCTGTTGAGTGTGTGTCAGCAAGGCCTAGTGGCTGCCAGCCACAGTGAGGGTGTCCTTACTCCAGTCAAGTGCCCACCCCCTTCACTATGAGTCAGTGACTCCTCCATGTGACCTGATTATCAGACTCAAGAGCTCCTGGGAGAGGGGAAGCTTAGCTGGGGGAGATGTGGGCCAGGCCTGGGCAGAGGAGCGTGTGCTGGGCTCTGCGAGGCGAGAGCCTGGGTCTAGCCCTGCACTGTGCTGACTTGCAGTGTGGTCTGAGATGGGGATCTGCCCTGACTGCCTCACTGGGCAGAGGTGTGGCTTGAAGGAGGAGGAGAGTGGCCAAGGGTCATCTCATTCCCTCTGGGGGGCTTCTGACGCCAGTATCTTGCTCTTTCGAGTGCTCTGCTTGTGCCTTCCCCCTGGGACGACTCTCTTTCTCCGTCTCTGGGGGGTCGAAGGCCAGAGACAGCCAGGGTGAGGCTGGAGCCAGATGTCCCCAGTGACATGGATGCTGGGCCCTAAATTATCCTCTGCGCTCATGGCTACCCTTCCGCTGAGTATAATTCAAAAGGCCAGTTTTATGTTGTGTATATTTTAAAGGCCAGCCTCACTCTGCCCTGTGTCCATTTCTGCCTCCCCTAGGCCTGGGAAGTGAACAAAGAGACCAACTGTGTGACCAACTACCTGGCAGACTGTGAGACTCAGCTGTCCCAGGCCCCCAAACAGGGCCTGCTCTACGGTGTCCCCGTGAGCCTCAAGGAGTGCTTCAGCTACAAGGTATGCCCTGCCTTGGCGTCAGGCCTCAACTCCCCGCATCCCTGCCAGCCGGCTCTGTGTCCTGGGTTAGTTACCCTGGGCCCTCAGAGGAAATGTCAGGTCCAGAGGCCTTGAGCGGGCACCACGGTGTGCTTTGTCTTGGCCTGTGACAGGGTGGTGGGAGTGGACCCTCTGCTGCTGAAAGGCCCCTGACTCATCAGCCATGTCTCGGTGTCCATCCTTCCTTCTAGGGCCAGGACTCGACCTTGGGCTTGAGCGTGAATGAGGGGGTGCCAGCAGAGTATGACAGCGTGGTGGTTCAGGTGCTAAAGCTGCAGGGCGCCGTGCCCTTCGTGCATACCAACGTGCCCCAGTCCATGTTCAGGTTGGGTCTCATGAGTGTGGGGTGGAGGCAGGGTCACCTGTGCCAGGGTGACACGGCCGATCCATCCTTGCTTCCTCCAGCTATGACTGCAGTAACCCCCTCTTCGGCAAGACCACGAACCCGCGGGATCCCTCCAAGAGCCCAGGTGGCTCCTCAGGGGGAGAAGGAGCCCTCATTGGAGCTGGAGGATCCCTGCTGGGCTTAGGCACTGACATCGGGGGCAGCATCCGCTTTCCCTCCTCCTTCTGTGGCATCTGCGGCCTCAAGCCTACAGGGAACCGCCTCAGGTATGTTGTAGGAGGTGGGTGGAGGGAGCTTCTGGGTCCCTCGTGGTGTGACCTTGGCCTAGCTTCCAGCCTCTCTGGGTTCCTGGCAGGGGTTCCCTGCCTGGGGTTTTTCTGGGAGGGAGTGCCACAGTTCCACTGGCCCTGGTTCCTAGCTGCCACGTGGTAAGAGTTCCGAGCTACAGTGTGGGTGAGGAGTGGGACAGAGGTTGGCTCTTGTTCCCAATTATCTTGTGTTTCTTATCCAGCAAGATTGGTCTGAAGGGCTGTGTCTACGGACAGCTGGCAGGTGAGATTTGTGGTTCCCTTAGTGCCCTGGAGATTGTGGTGGTGGTGGTGGTGGCGGGGGGGGGGGGCGGGGAGGGGGGGTGTTGCCTCATCCACTCCTGCCCCTGCCTCTTCTGAGGACAGAGTTTGGTCCCCAGGCCACTCTAGGTCTGAGCTCCTACCTCCTTATCTCTGTCCAAACTCCTGGGCCATGGCCCAGCCCCTGGCTTGGACCCAACCCCAGAGCCGAGTGATCTCTCTTCCCTCCCCTCCCCACCTGACAGTACAGCTCTCAGTTGGCCCCATGGCCCGGGATGTGGAGAGTCTGGCGCTGTGCCTGCGAGCACTGCTGTGTGAGGACATGTTCCGGTTGGACCCCACCGTGCCCCCCCTGCCCTTCAGGGAGGAGGTGAGCAGGGATGCGGGTGGGTTCAGTTGTCACTGGTGCTCCTAAGCCCAGAGGGCAGCCCCCAGGCAGTGTGGGTGTCCTTGGAGGCCCTGTCTCCTGAAAACCAGCCCCTGGGGGCCTGAGACCAGGGTCAGCTGCTGCTCCACAGATAGCCACGAGATGGAGCCCTTGCCTGCATTTAGAAACTCAGTCTTCCGAATTGTCAGCTGGCAATCTTGGCTGAGGACAGGTCCAGCCTTCTAGCCCCAGCCTCTGCTGCTGCCAGGGAGGAACCACTTCCCAGCACCAGAACAACTTGAGGGAGAACTGATGTGCCTCCTCCGTGTTTGACCCGCAGCAAACAGGAGCCTTTCTTCAGTATTTGTGTCCATATCCCCAACCTCCTTTGTGATGCTTGGCATGTAGGCTGAATAAGGACAGTTAAAGGCAGACAGTCTGAGAAAGCTGGGATCTGGGGGCAGTGTTGAAAGCTGGCTCCCCAAATACTACCAAAACAGCCTGTGGATCGGACAAAGCTGAGTTTACTAGTTTCTGTGGTGAGGGAGAATGCTGCCCCAACAGAACCTTAGTAGCCCTAGGGCGGGGAGGGTGGAGGGTGGAGGGGGACAGAAGGGGAAAAGTGGGGATATTTGTTGAGATTTTGAAGTCTGGTTTTTTAAGGTGAGTATTTCAATGTGGGGGTTTGTAAGGATTATCCTATCTAATAAAAGAGAAACATGGCAATTAGTGTACAACTGCTACCCTTCCCATTGGCTAATCAGCGAGATATGCAAATTAACTGCCAACCAAGATGGTGGCCGGCAGCCAGGCAGCTTCAAGCTAACATGAGCCTTGCTTGCTTCAGTGACGGAGGACTCCAACATTCCCCGCCTGCCTTGCCAGCCTCTGAGCCTGCAGTTTGAAACATTGTTACAAATACAGAAGCTAAACAAAACCCCAGAAACCTGCTTTCAGCCCGCCGGGATCTCAGAGCTGGAGTTGATACTGTGTCGATTATAGAACCCAAACAAACCCGATACCTGCTTTCAGCAGCAGAGGCCTCAGAGCTGGAGCCAGAGCTAAAGCTGGCCCAGAATAAATAAAAAAAAGAAAAAAAGGAGCAGTTGGGAGCTTCAGTCACCCGTCAGCCTGAAAACGGCCCTCAGCCCCTCACCCAGACTGGCCAGGCACCCCAGTGGGGACCCCCACCCTGAAGGGTGTGTGACCAGCTGCAAACAGCCATCATCCCCTCATCCAGGCTGGCCAGGCACCCCAGTGGGGACCCCCACCCTGATCCAGGACACCCTTCAGGGCAAACCAGCCGGCCCCCACCCGTGCACCAGGCCTCTATCCTATATAGTAAAAGGGTAATATGCCTCCCAGCACCAGGATCAGCAGAGCCGCAAGGCCTCCCAGCAGTGGGATCAGCGGACCTGAGAGGTCTACCGGCACTGGGATCAGTGTGACAGGGGGCAGCGCCCAAACCCCCTGATTGCCCTGCAGCTCTGTGTGTGACAGGGGGCGGGGCCACAACCTCCCTATCCGCCCTGCTCTGTTTGTGACAGGGGAAGGCGCCCCAATCCCCTGATCAGCTCTGCTCTGTGCCTGATAGGGGGAGCTCCCCAACCCCCTGATCGCCCTGTGGCTGTGTGTGTGACAGGGTGTGGCGCCCCAACCCCCTGATCGGCCCTGCTCTGTGTGTGACAGGGTGTGGCGCCCCAACCCCCCACCCCCTCACGGGCCCTGCTCTGTGTGTGACGGGGTAGAGCCATAACCTCCCCATTGGCCCTGCCCTGAGTATGAGAGTGGCGGCGCCCCAACCCCCTGATCGGCCCTACTCTGTGGGTGATAGAGGGCGGTGCCCCAACTCCCCTATCGGCCCTACTCTGTGAGTGACAGGGGGGAGCTACTCAACCCCCTGAGGGCCCTGCTCTGTGCGTGTTAGGGGGGAGCTCCCCAACCCCCTGAGGGGCCCTGCTCTGTGCGAGACAGGGTACGGAGCCCCAATCCCCCTGATGGGCCCTGCTCTGTGCGTGACAGGGGGCAGCGCCTCAACCCCCTGATTAGCACTGTTTTGTGTGTGACAGGGTGTGGCGCCGCAACCTCCCCATCGACCCTGCCTTGAGTGTGACAGGGGGTGGTGCCCCAACCCCCCAATTGGCCCTACCCTGAGCGTGACTGAGGGTGGCATCGCAACCTCCCAATCCGCCCTGCTCTGTGCATGACAGGGGGCGGCACCCCAACTCCCCAATTGGCCCTGCTCTGATCCTGACCAGGGGCATCACCTAGGGATTGGGTCTGCTCTCTGCCACCTGGGAGCAGGCCTAAGCTAGCAGGTCGTTATCTGCTGAGTGGTCCCAGACTGCGAGAGGGCACACGCCGGGCTGAGGGACTCCCACACCCCCCCTGAGTGCACAAATTTTTGTGCACCGGGCCTCTAGTCCGATCTAATAAAAGAGAAACATGGTAATTAGCGTACGACCGCTACCCTTCCCATTGGCTAATCAGGGCGATATGCAAATTAACTGCCAGCCAAGATGGTGGCCAGCAGCCAGGCAGCTTCAAGCTAACATGGGGCTTGCTTGCTTCAGTGACGGAGGACTCCAATGTTCCCTGCCTGCCTTGCCGGCCTCTGAGCTTGCAGTTTGAAACATTTTAACAAATATAGAAGCTAAACAAAACCCCAGAAACCTGCTTTCAGCCCGCCGGGATCTCAGAGCTGGAGTTATACATTATTTTGATTATAGAACACAAACAAACCAGATACCTGCTTTCAGCAGCAGAGGCCTCAGAGCCGGAGCCAGAGCTAAAGCTGGCCCAGAATAAAAAGAAAAAAGAATAAAAGGAGTAGTTCAGAGCTTCAGTCACCCGCCAGCCTGAAAACAGCCCTCAGCCCCTCACCCAGACTGGCCAGGCACCCCAGTGGGTACCCCCACCCTGAAGGGTGTGTGACCAGCTGCAAACAGCCATCATCCCCTCATCCAGGCTGGCCAGGCACCCAGTGGGGACCCCCACCCTTATCCAGGACACCCTTCAGGGCAAACCAGCCCACCCCACCCATGCACCAGGCCTCTATCCTATATAGTAAAAGGGTAATATGCCTCCCAGCACCGGGATCAGCGGAGCCGAGAGGCCTCCTGGCACCAGGATCAGCACGACAGGGGCCAGCGCCCAAACCCCCTGATCGCCCTGCAGCTCTGTGTGTAAAGGGGGCGGGGCCACAACCTCCCGATCCACCCTGTTCTGTTCGTGACAGGGGAAGGAGCCCCAACCTCCTGATCAGCCCTGTTCTGTGCCTGATACGGGGGAGCTCCCCAACCCCCTGATCGCCCTGCGGCTCTGTGTGTGACAGGGTGCGGTGCCCCAACCCCCTGATTGGCCCTGCTCTGTGTGTGACAGGGTAGAGCCATAACCTCCCCATCAGCCCTGCCCTGAGTGTGAGAGTGGTGGCGCCCCAACCCCCTGATCAGGCCTGCTCTGTGGGTGATAGACGGCGGCGCCCCAACCCCCTGATCCGCCCTGCTCTGTGTGTGACAGGGGGTGGTGCCCCAACTCCCCTATCGGCCCTACTCTGTGCGTGAGAGGGGGGAGCTCCCCAACCCCCTGAGGGGCCCTGCTCTGTGCGAGACAGGGTACGGAGCCCCAATCCCCCTGATGGGCCCTGCTCTGTGCGTGACAGGGGGCAGCGCCTCAACCCCCTGATTGGCACTGTTCTGTGCGTGACAGGGGGTGGCGCCGCAACCTCCCCATCGACCCTGCCTTGAGTGTGACAGGGGGCGGTGCCCCAACCCCTCAATCGGCCCTACCCTGAGCATGACTGAGGGTGGCATCGCAACCTCCCAATCCGCCCTGCTCTGTGCATGACAGGGGGCGGTGCCCCAACTCCCCAATCGGCCCTGCTCTGATCCTGACCAGGGGCTGCACATAGGGATTGGGTCTGCCCTCTGCCACCCGGGAGCAGACCTAAGCCAGCAGGGCGTTATCTGCCGAGGGGTCCCAGACTGTGAGAGGGCACAGGCCAGGCTGAGGGACCCCCCCCTTCCCCGCCGAGTGCACAAATTTTTGTGCACCGGGCCTCTAGTGATGTAATAATAGTTTAGGATTGGTGGACACAGCAAGGTGAGGATTTTGAGGTGAGGGATTTAAGGAGTCTCAAAGTATAAGGTGTCATTTTACCCTTCTGTTGAAGAGTTGAAGGGTCTTTCAAGAACGGAAAATCCTTTGCACTTTATGTATAAAGCATTCAGGAGAAGTCAGGTTAGATGGATGCAGACAGTGGCATAGTGAAGCTATGCGAATGCAGACAGAACACTGAGCAATGCAAGCTCCATCGCTCCCTCACGCAGCCCCGGTCGCCTTGGGAAGGCTGGAGGTCCCCGGGCAGGAGAGTGGGCCTCGGTGCTCCTTGGTAGGTAGGAAATCTGGGCTGGATGGCGTGAGCTCCCCTCCCCAGCAGAGGAGGATGTCCTAACGGACCCCCTCCCCGAGAAGGAGGAGCGGTGGAAATGAGGTCTGGGACAGTTTATCATGGGAGTCAGGTCTTGCATTCTTGACATAGGCAGCAGACAGGACATCGTATTGTCACTCTGCATTAGTGGCCTTGGACCGGTTTCAGCACCCCTCTGGGCCCATCTCGTTATCTGGATCTGAGCCTTAATTTCCTCATATGAACGAAGGAATCTGCAGGGTCATCGTGAAGTTCTTCTGAGAAAGGGCTGGCCTTGCTGGCAGTCTGTTTTCAGGGGTTGCGGGCCTCAGCCTAGCAGCTGTGTGAGGCTGGGTGGCTTCGATTTCGGGAAGCCCCACCTCGGGCCACCCTCTCCCGACCTGACTCTGACTCTTGTGCTTTGTCTCCAGATCTATGCAAGCTCTCGGCCCTTGCGTGTGGGGTATTATGTGACAGACAAGTATACCATGCCCACCCCAGCCATGAAGCGGGCTGTGCTGGAGACCAAGCAGAGACTGAAGGCGGCTGGCCACACGGTAAGGCTGCAGGGGCCCAGAAGCCCTGGCATGGCCTTCCTTCAGGGACGCCTTCCTGGCCACCACCCGTGGCCACCACCCCTTCCTGGCATCCTTGCACCTGGACTGTTTTGTGGTTGGGGCTGGGTCCTGAGTCCCTGTGGCAGCAGTATAGACAGGGCTAATGAGGAGTGTTGGGGTAAGTAATTGATGGTGGACTCAGCCCCATGCTAGGGATGTGTGATGGTGGCTTTGGGAGGCCTCATCCAACACATGGTGCACAGTTGCCCGTAGGTTCCCGGGGCCCTGAGATGGTGGGCCAGTGGGTGTTGGTCTGCTAATCTCAGACCAGTTCATGTGTGGCTCCAGGAAGTAAGGCCACCTTTGTGGCTGCAGTGAGAGCTACCGTGCGGCAGAATTGGTCCAGTCCATCCTCAGGGCCATCTGGGCAGCACGGGGGTGGACAGACCCAAGAGTTTCTAGGGGTGGGGGCTCATACCTTCCAATCCTGCAGCTGGTTCCCTTCCTGCCAAGCAACATACCCTACGCTCTAGAGACGCTATCGACCGGTGGGCTGTTCAGTGATGGCGGTGGCAGCTTCCTACAGAACTTGTGAGTGATGACTGTCTTCGGGGTCTGCGGTGGAATCAGGACAAGGGTAGACCCAGGGAGAGCAGTGGAGTGCTTTGACCCCCAGGGACGGGCCACCTGGGGGAAGAAGGGGGAGAAGGGGACAGGCCTCAGCTGAACACAAAGAAGGATGACGCATCCTGGGCAGGGACCCCGCTGCATTTCCAACTGCAGGTTGAGCCTGGAGATAGCTTACCAGGGACAGTTTGGAAAGGTGCCAGCGCCAGGGGAGGCTGGACTGAGCATGTGTGGTCTGGCCCTGGGCTGAGCTCTTTGGGAGGTAGGAGATGGGCAGAGGGCTACCTGACTGTCGGGAAAGATGAGAGATAAGGGCAGGATCAAGCAGGAGGGCAGGGGTCTAGACATCATGCTGTGATTTGAGGCTCTTCTTTTTCTTTTCTTTTCTTTTGTCTCTTTGGAGAAGAGGCCCTTCTGACTTGAGCCATATCCTTCCCTTTCGAGTAGGACCTTGGTTTTCTGTCAAGTCGGTGGGTTGGACCAGACCCGCTTTAAGGGACTTTGCAGAGCTCACGTTCAGAGAGGCTGGTTCCACTTGAATGTTTTCAGACCTTAAAGACTGACAGAGGCAGAGGACAGGCCTGTGAAGGTGCCTCTGGTGACACGCCTGGGCTTACTGGACTTCCCCCAGTGGTCAAGGATGGGCCAGGCTTTGTGGAAGGTGGTATGTTTCATTCTGGCCATGGAACGAGGCCCAGGCTCAGCCACCTGAGACCTTTCCCTGAGTTCTAGAACCAGGGACAGCCTCAGAGACAAGCGTCATGGGTGGCCCACTCTGGACAGCCCCACTGGTGTCTCCAGGCTGGCGTCAGCAACAGGGGGTGCCCTCAGTATCAAGCCCTGGCCAGGGAGATGTTGCCCTCAGTCCTTATTGCTCTGAGCTGCGTTTGCCAGGGAGTGTGACCTGCTAGTCCTGAAAGATTAGCAAAAACCAGTCAGACATTTGAAAGGAGGCAGTTGAAGGGATTGGAGACCAGCAGTTACCAGCGTGTGATGAGGAGAGAGATGGACAAAGGTTGCTGAATACAAAATGGAGGACCCAGTGGGTGGGGGTAAGCCAGGAGGGATGCCTGGGGTGGAAGTACCTGGACTGGACCCTTTGTCTCCCAGCAAAGGTGATTTCGTGGACCCCTGCTTAGGGGACCTGATATGGATTCTGAAGCTGCCCGAGTGGCTTAAAGGACTGCTGGCTTTTGTGCTGAAGCCTCTGGTGAGGGCACAGGGAGTGGAAGGGGTGGGGTGGGTGAGGGGAGCTTCTGGGGCTCTTCCCCTTCTCCTCAGCCTCTCCTGGCAGGCATGGCCTCTTCTTCCAAGCCCCCCCCCCCCGCCCCCAGACTCCTCTCCTCCTCCCACCCCTCTGGTCTTTGGTCGCCCTGCATGCTGAAGGGGGTGCCACTGGGACCTGGGGGAGGGACAGAGAGAGGAGGCATGGTGGCTTGGCCTGAGGAAGACTGCTGTCAGCACCTGGCCCAAGCTGAGTCACTGACTCTGTCTGCCCTGCAGCTCCCACGGTTGGCGGCCTTTCTCAGCAGCATGAAGTCTCGGTAAGAAAATTCCGTGTCCCGGTGCCTGCCTCTCTCCCTCAGACCTGGGTGGAAGTGGTTTCCGACAGGAAAAGAGGTGGGAAGTGACTTCTGAGGCTGAAAGTGGCCCAGACAGGGTGGCAACTCTTACTCAAGATTTCCAGCTTGACCAGTGCTGAGGACAGGAGCTTCTTGTCCCCAACACTATTCAAGTCGGAGACCTTGAGTTGGAGTCTATTCCACAATCCCTCTGTGACCTTCAGGTGGGACCTGCAAGTTGTCTTAGCGAGGACCAGGTCTGGCTGGAAAGCAGGGGCTGGAGGGAGATCACAGGATGGGAGTGGTGGGGAGAAGATTGCCCTGGCTGGGGCATGGGTGGGAAGGACCAGGAAGGAGTTGCTGTGCAGCAGGGGACAGGGGGATGCTGGGGACCCTGTGAGGATGCTCCTGGGAGAGTTCTGAACTGAACTGAGCTGCACTGGGTCTTGCCTGCCCCTTAGTGGCTGGAGCGGGAAAATCAGGGCAGTAGCTGCCCCATTTTCTGGCCCTGGCATCCTGTGGACTTGCTCCTTTTCTCACCACCGGGCATTTAGGACCTTGGACAGCTCTGCCCCCTCCTAAGGGTAGCTAGGAATCAGGCCTGGTCTGGTCCTGGCTCGGTGGTGGAGTCACTAAGTAACTCAGCCCAAGTCCCCCGTGGGGCTTGATCTTCTCAACAGGACAGTAGGGATTTGAACTTCTGCCCTGCACTGCTTCCCTCTCAGAGCTCCCATAATGTTGAGAAGGGTCTGCAGGAATGAGATCTGGGAGGTGTTAAGAGTAGGGGTCTGATGTTGCTCACCCCCTGATCCCCATGGTTGTGACTATCGTGGCTGGTGACTTCACTCCCTCCGCCAGGTCCACCGGGAAGCTCTGGGAACTGCAGCACGAGATCGAGGTGAGGCACAGCCCCGAACTAGACTAGGGTGGGGAAGGGGAGGGTTTGGGAGGGGAATGGGAGCCAGTGGGCTCTCTTGGGCACTGGTTTTATTTGTCTTCTGGAGCAGCCTGTTATTCCCCCTCCCCCTCCCTGGACAGGCCTGCTAGGGTCCAGCTCTCTGACCCTCACTTGCCCAAATGCACATCCTTGGGGGCTGGGTCAGCCCAGGGCTCGTACTCTGGACGCCTCTTCTTCCGTACGGTGCTGCCTGTCACCAGGCACTATGTGGCCCTGCCCTGGCCAGAAGAATGGTGTCTACAGTTCCTGTAGGAGGCGGGGAAATCACTTCCCCTGAAAGCAGCCCTGCCTGTGTGCCCTGAGGACCTCCCTCCCATTGTGGCTCCCCAGCCCCCAGCCACACAGTGCCTGCATCGAAGAGCTTATGGGTTGGGCTGGGCCTGAGTGCTTCACCCGCTGTGCTGGTACCCTCCCCAGGTGTACCGCAGCTCTGTGATTACCCAGTGGAGAGCACTGGACTTGGATGTGCTGCTCACGCCCATGCTGGGCCCTGCTATGGACTTGAATGCCCCAGGCAAGGCCACAGGTGAGGCCTGCTTCCCCACCATGCCCCTGACAGCCCCGCCCATCCCTTCTCTTGTATGAGTTCAGCCTTGGCCAGGCTGCTGTGAAGTAGAAGAAGTGGAGCCCTGGGGAGGATCTGGCTCTTAGGCGACTCATCGCCTGGCTGGCTGCAAAGATGGGATATCCTGGGAGTGATATCAGTAGACATCATTCTTCTGGCCAGAGTCTATGGTTTGGGGAGGTGGAATTTGAGGTCCAGGTGGGATTAGATAAACCAAGAAAACAGGAGTGACATTCCAGCTGGGGAAGCTACATGGGCAGAGGCTTGGGGCAAACCCCAGCAGGCTCTCCAGCCTGGCCTGAATCTGGGTTCCTGGGCTTTGTCATTCACTCAAGTCTCAGCCCTGGGAGAGAGCCTATCCTTGTCTGTGGAGGTCGGGTGCCACTTCACAGGATGGGAGACTGAGGCGCAGACAGGACAGTTGGCACCGAAGGTCACCTGGCCTGCTCCAGCCACTTGTGCTGTGTCTCAGGGGCCGTCAGCTACACTCTGCTCTACAACTGCCTGGACTTCCCAGCGGGGGTGGTGCCTGTCACCACGGTGACGCTCGAGGATGAGGCCCAGATGGAGCATTGCAGAGGCTACTTTAGAGATACGTGGGACAAGGTGCTGTGGAAGGTGAGGTCATGGGGACTGGCCTGGCCAACTCCAGGTCTCCCTTCTCCTGGACTCACCCATTCCCTAACTCTAGCTGAAGCGGAGGAAATAGTATAAGCACATGTAGGTCTTGCTTGTCTTTCTTTTCTTTTCTCTTTAAATATGTTTTTATTGATTTTTAGAAATAGAGGAAGGGAGAAGGATAGAGAGATAGAAACATCAATAAGAGAGAAACATCATCAATCGGCTGCCTCCTGCACGCCCCCACCCGGGATCGACCTTGCAACCTGAGCATGTGCCCTGACCATGACCTTCTGGTTCATAGGTTGACACTCAACCATGAGCCACACCAGCAGGGCTTGTCTGTCTTTCTTAACACAAGACCCTGAAGGATGCGGCTGGGCTTGCTGTGCTGCCCCTTCTCTCCATCTGGGGTGCTTCCTGGACCTGGGGTGGGGTCCTGCCTTGCCGCCTCCCATTCTTATCCCTGTGTCCCCTGCAGGCCATGAAGAAGAGCGTGGGGCTGCCTGTGGCCGTGCAGTGTGTGGCTCTGCCCTGGCAGGAAGAGTTGTGTCTGCGGTTTATGCGGGAGGTGGAACGACTGATGACCCCTGAAAAGCAGCCATTCTGACTGCTGCCTGCCTGGCCACCCAGCCGGCTCCAGAGGACCCACTGGATCTGCGTCCAGCCTGGTCAGGGCACAGCTGCCATCCTGCAAGGAAACGTTCACTTGGGGCAGAGGCTGCCTCCCCCCCGCCCCCTTCCAAGAAGCCAAGTCCTCCTGAGTCTGGACCTTGCCCCTCAGTCTGGTCCCCAGTTTCTGCCCTGACCCCCTCCCCATGTGGCAGCCAGTGGGTATGCCATAGGCAAGGCCCCACTAACAGTAAAAAATGGTTTCTAGTCTGTGTACTTTCTGGCCGTCACTGTAGGGCACTGGGGGTTGGAGCCTTGACCTTTTAGAGCCCGATTCCAGCCATGTCAGTTTCCTGCTCCCAAACCTCCCCTGGTTCCCATGATACAGGATGGACACAGGCTGCTCCGAGTGGGTGTTGCACACCCAGCACTTCACTCTCCCCCGCGCCCTGCCTTCGATGAAGTCCTGCTTTGCTAGGCATTGCCCTTTCTCTTCTTCCTTCCTTTGCTCCTTCCTTCTGCTGAGGAAGCCCTTTCTGCTCCTCTACCTTTGGATACTCTGAGGCCCAGCTCAGACCCCTTTTCTCCAGAAGGCCTTCCCTCCTGCCTCTGAGCCTTGGAGTAGGTGGCCAGTTTCCCAAAGTCTGCCCCGTATGCTGGGCATCTGTGTGTGGGGAGCTGCCTCTCAGCATTCTGGCTCTCCTTGATGGCAGGGACTCTATTGTATATCTTTGTCCTCAGTGGCCAACACCGGGCTGGGCACAGGGCAGCAGGGAGTCTGGAGTGCTGACCCTGAGCTGGCACCATTGGAGTGCTGACCCTCTGGTAGTGAGTCCACAGGCCTGGGGAGGTGAGCACCAGACCGGCGATCTGGTAGAGAGTGCTCACGGGCCAGCCAAGGCTTCCTGAAGGAGGAGGGCCTCTGTTGAGTCTAGATGATTCCCAGAGGCTGAGATCGGGGACGAGGACATCCCAGGGAGAAGGAACAATAGTACGCCCAAAGACCAGGATGAGTTTGGCAGATGGAGGCATGTTGAATGGGTGCAGGAGAAGGAGCAAAAATGTAGGTGGTGTCAGATCCAAGTGGATTTGAGGGGCCAGTTCAGGAACTGGAATCCTATCTCAAGGGCAATGGGGAGCTCTTGCAGGAAGGAGAGTAGACTGGATGGATAGAGGCTGCAGAGGGATAAAGAGGTTGCTCCATTTTCCTAATTGGGAAGGAGGCCTGAGGCCTGAGCTAGGGTGGGGGTCCAGTGGCAGAGAGAGGTGGTTTGGGAATTGACAGTTGAGATGCAAGTGAGCTGTCAGCTCAGTCTGCCAGGTCACCTCTTGCTGCACTGCGTTGCTTGACAGGTGGGAGGTTGGCTGGCTTGTGACAGACTTCTTGGCCCTACCAGCAGAACCCACTCACTCCTTCTTGCCCCCACCTCCCAGCCCTCGTGCTAACTCCCTGCTTGCTGTAGAAGGTGTTTCTGAGCCTGAGCCTCTGGTAAGGTAGGCCATAGGCCTCACCTGGCCTACTTCAAATTCTTTTCCGGACCAGCTGCCTTGCCAAGGAAGGCTTGCCTCTCCATTCTGTTCCTCCAAAGGTGCTTCCCCTCAAGGTTGTACAACCAGTGGTAACTGCATTCTCTGCCAAAGGTGTCTCTGCCTCGGTGGGGCCCCACACCTTGGAGCTGACTAGAGGGCCCAACCCACATGGATGCCTGTACCGGGGTGACCTAGTAGTTGCTGTACTTTGCCCTGGTTCCTTGTAACAGCTGTGTCATTTCACCTAATACTATTCCATAAAGCTACCTGCCATCTGCCCAGTTTCCTCCTGACCAATTTCTCGTTTTCGTTAATATTTTTGTGCCTTCAGACGCAAGGCTGCATTCCTTCATTCCTTCACCCTAAAGCCCCAACATGGGCATACCCACCCTGTGCTGAATGGTCCTGGAACTCAACCAAGCCTGGTTTCCATCCTTGGGCCCCTGGGCTTGTGGGGGTGGTGGACGTTGACACAAACACATCTGTTCACCGGGTGATCAGCGGTGGGGAAAAGGGAAGATAAGGCACCACATGCTGCCAAAAGGTGGAGGAGGTGGTCACTGCGCAAGTATCATCTCCACTGCTTCGCTCTAATCCAAGCAACCTACCTCCTGGATGCTGCAATAGCCTAACTTGGCTCCCTGCGTTCATCGACACCTGTCCCCCAACCTACTTTCCAGATAGTAGCCAGAGTGCTCCCTTAAAAGTGTATATCAGATTGAGTCACTTCTCCTTAAGACCTGCCAACGACCCATCCCATCCAGAATAAAATCCAGGGTCCTTGTTTCCCATGAGGCCCTGTGTGAAGTGGCCCTTACCCACCTCTCCAGCCCCACCTTGGGTGTCTCCTCCCGTTCACTGTGCTCCAGCCACATGGGCACCTTTTGGTTTCCTGATCATCTCAACCAGGTCCGTGCATCACAGCCTTGGTGTTAGCTGTCCCTGTGCCTGGAACACTCAGCGCCAGTATCACCTCCCCTGATTACCCACTGGTTAAGCAGTTGTCCTGACCCTTCCTAATGTCACCCTTTGTACTTGGCATTATCACTATCTGGGACTATATGATTTTTTTTGTCTCAACTCGAGCTTCCTGAGAGCTGCGCTTTGTCTTGCTCATCACTGTAATCTTGGTATGTGGAATGGTGCTTATAAGGCACTCAATTCTGTGAACATTAAGTGAGCGTGCACTAGGGGCCAGGCTCATACTGGGTTCTGGGACTGCAGTGATGAGTGATGGGTTCTTGTCCTCTTGGAGCTTACATTCTGGAGGGTACTTGCTGAATGACCAGAGGGCGGGAGGCACCTAGTGTGCAGTGAAGACCCTCACTAATGCATGGAGTGATGCATTTACTCTTCATCAGGTAAAAGGGGTGGGGGGTGTATTGAATGAAATTTACCAAGTACTTATTATTACCCTTTTAGGCACTTAATGGTTATTATTTAATTCACCTATTTACCAAATTGTAGGCATCGTTGGCTTGCTTGTGACAGACTTGTTGGCCCTACCCTTGCCATGTCCCATTTTATAGAAAGGTGACACACTTTGCCCAAGGGCCCACAGCTAGAAGTGGGGGAATGGGAATAAAAAAATGGTATCAGTTTATGTCAGAACCTATGCAGTGAGCTTTCTAGTATCTGCTGGTGCTGAGGCAGAGAGGAGTGACAGCATAAGCCAACCACTTCCTCTTCCTGTCTGACCACTGGTCCAGTGGCATCAAGACCCTTTAAGTCATATGGCCACTGCCTTTTTTAGCCTTTCCTCCCTTCCTGGGTGCACTGCCACAGCTTCTTGCCTGGTCTTCCCTATCTCCAGGCTGGTCTCCAATTGTCCATATCACAGTTGGGTGGCCCTTTAATATTTAAAGAAATCATACATGATGCTCAGTTGACTTATTTTAAAAACTACATATTTTTATTGATTTCAGGGAGGAAGAGAAAGGGGGAAACAGAGAGAAACATCAATGATGAAAGAGAATCATTGATTGGCTGCTTCCTGCATGCCCCTTACTGGGGATCAAGCGTGCAACCTGGGCATAGCCCTTGACCAGAATTGAACCCAAGACCCTTCAGTATGCAGGCTGATGCTCTATCTACTGAGCCAAACCAGCTAGGGTGATGCTCAGTTTATTTCTGTATCATATGTTCTCCATTCCTGTTGCCGGACCCACAAGATAATTAAGTGGTAGTGGTAATAATTTTCTAATAGTTTATCTTGTTACCTCAGATTATTATTCAGTGCTCTGATTATTGTAGTGTTAAAAAAACAAACAAACAAAAAACAACCTAAAACATAGTGGCTTGAAAAAAATCACAATTTCTTAAGTCCAGAATTCAGGCAGAACTTGGGTGGTTAATACTTCTGCTCTATGTGGCATTAACTGGAGTCATTCTCCAATGATAGTCAGCTGACAGATGACCTAGGCTAAGTGACTAAAATGATTTCACTTACATTTATGCTGCTTTGGTGGGCACAGCTGATAGGTAGGTTCAGCTGTGCCTTTCCCCACTCCATGCAGACTCTGGGTCTCTCCACATGGTCACTGAAGCAGGGTGGTCAGACTTTTTACATGGTAGCTCAGGGCTCCAAGAGTGAGCATTCTGCCCTGGCCAGTGTGGCTCAGTTGGTTGGGCATCATCCCATGCACCGAAAGGTTGCTGTTTGATTACTGGTCAGGGCACATGCCCTGGGTTGTGGGCTTGATCCCCAGTAGGGGGCATGCAGGAGGCAGCTAGTCGATGTTTTGCTCTCACATCAATGTTTCCCTCTCCCTTTCTTTCTCTCTAAAAAACAACAACAAAATAAATATTTTTTAAAAAGAGTGAGCATTCTAAGGAGCCTTTCCAGAAGCTGCAAGTCTTCTTGTGACGTAACTTCAGAAGTTCATAACATCCTTTCCATAATCTATTGGGCCAGTAAGTTAGTAAGGCTGTCCAGGTTCAAGGAGGGTGAGGAAGGGACTCTACCTCCCAATGGGGGAATGGTATATGCATACACGGAGTTGAAGGGATTGATGGTGGCCATCTTAGAGAAAGCTACCATATTCAGGGAATGGGTGACCTTTGTAAATATGTAAATCTGTTCACACCTAAGATCTTTAGTATCACTTGTGCTCTGTCCAGACGCTTGGCAATGACCTACAAGGCCATGCTTGAGCTGCGTGCTGCTGCACTCTGTTCTCCTTCCTGAGTGTCCACATCCTGGCCACGTGGCCCTCAGGTGCACACCTCCCACCTAGAAGCCCTTTGCTCACCGTGCTTGCTCTTCCTGGAGTGCTCTTCCTATATTGCCAAGACTTCTGCTTATCAAAGGCATGGGTGGTTGTCCTCTTACAACTGTCAGGTGTCTTGAAAGGGCTTATTGAAAGCAGGGACTGTGACTTAATGATAGTACTAGGCCTGAAGTTATGTTTCATTATTTCACTGGAAACAATGGGCATCACCATTTTCACTTTGAAGACAGGGAAACAAGTTGAGGGAAAGTTGCTGGTTTGTCCAAAATCAAAGACTTGAACACAGGAGACCTGAACCCACATGCCTGACTCCTTTGCACAATCATCCCAAGAACATGCACTGAACACCCTTTGGGTGCCAGGTTCTCTGCAAGGTGCCCATGTACACTGCAGACAGAAGCAGCACCCATGTGCTGTGCGCTGCTGCTGGTGTCTATTTGTAGGAGGTGTCTGTCATGTCCCTGTCCACCGCCCCTTCCTCTCCCTGGGGTTGTGCTATTGGAGTTCAGGACACAGTCAGGAGACCTGCCATTATCTCTATTAGACGACATCTTTTGGAGTCACCCCAAGGTTCCAGCCTATTGAGAGCCTTTGGGATTCTGGCACTGTTGCTCACTCTCTGCTCTACCTCCCAGCTTGTCTACCCACAAGTCTGAGTACTGGACCTCTCCAACTTCATTCAAGTCACCAATAATATATGGATCAGATTAAGGCCGAGAAAAGAGCCCTGGGGTGTTTCACTCCAGATCACCCCCCAGGGCAGCCTGATATGCCACACCCTTAAGAGGTAGTCATATAATTAAGTACTGAGCCTCCCAACCAGCCTTGGTTGGGTCTTCCAAGTTCCCAACATGTAGATTGGGAGTGGTGACCCTGGGCGCCTTAGGCAGGTAATGTCACAGAGTCAGGGCTGTGTGGGGTTTGCCATTGTATATCCAGCACCCTGCACAGTGCCTAGTACTCAGCGGGTACCCAGCAAAGGCTTATTGAATGGAGGAATGAGTGACTTGTTATTAGTGAACCCATTTTGGTCTCTTCTGATACTTCCTTCTCTTGTCCCCAACAGGAAATATCCCAATCTGTCCTTGCCCTCTACCTACCATAAGGACAAATAACCCCCAGTTCAACCTATAGCTTTCTCCTGGTCTGCAATTCCTGATCCAGCCACTCCCCCCAACTCCCTACCCCTTCTGTTCCTCCTTTCCTCCAATATATCTATCGAATTCCTCTCACAGTGCGCCCAGGGTAAGCAATCAGAAATAGTCCCTGCCTGAATGGAACTTTCATTCTGCTAGCAAACAGACATCAAATGCACAATCACACAAAAACACTTGTCAGGAGTTCAATGAAGCAGAAGCACTACTTTATTTTATGAGAGTAAACCAAATTGGACCTGACCCAGCCTGGAGTATCAGGAAAAGCTTCTGAAGAAAAACATACTTTAAGAAGGGTGGAGGTGAAGCTTCAAATGCTGCTGATTTAACTCAAAAGAGATCCTTGGGATGATCTGGGCATAAAGCAGACTGGATTGGGTGAAGGAGTGAGTGAAAGGCAATCTGAAAGGTAATCTGAGGAGGTTGGCTGGGAGGGAAAGGAGTGATGTAAGGAGATTAGCTATGAAGGACGCAGATCTAAGAGATTTGTTTTTTAATTCTCATCAGAGAATATGTTTAGTGAGGGGGGGGAGAGAGAGAGAGAGAGAGAGAGAGAGAGAGAGAGAGAGAGAGAGGAGAGAGAGAGAGAAATATGGATTGGTTGCTTCCCATACATGCCCCCATGGAGGATTGAACCGGCAGCCTAGTTATGTGCCCTGACTGATCCTGTAACCTTTTTGGTGTATGGGATGATATTCTAACAAACTGAGCCACCCGGCCAGGGCTGAGAGAATTTTTTTTAAGATGGAGGAGACTTAAACACGATAATGCTGCTAGGAAGGAAGCCATCAGAGATACACACAGCTAAAGGTGGGGATAGAAGGCTCAACCCGTGTATCAGCCCTCCATTTAAGACATATTATTGGGCTGAACCGGTTTGGCTCAGTGGATAG